GCTTTATCCTTGATTGCTGTTGTTTATAAAACATTTAAGTAATGGATAACCTGGAATAATTCAGAGAGGCCTCAGGGAGAGGCTTTCTGATGCTCTGGGATTCATTCCACTGCCAGACTTTTGGACATGGGGACTGGAGCTGTGAAAGCTCCGAGGAAGGCAGGAGAGAACATCCCTAAAACGCAGCAGGTCAGGGGAGGCTTTTCCTCTTTTTGCCAAGTCTGAATGCAAAACCAGGCTGGCTGGGGAATGCTTTTGGCAGAAACATCCCTTTGTCCTTGCTGTCTTTGCCCAGCCACCATCTACGCCCCGAGGAGGAAGGGGCAGCTCTCAGCTGACATCTGCATGGAGACCATCGGCGAGGAGATCTCGGAGCTGCGGCAGGTCAGGAAGGGCGTGTTCCAGAGGGTCGTGGCCATCTTCATCCACTACTGTGATGTCAACGGGGAGCCCGTGGAGGATGACTACATCTGAGGGGTGCCCCCAGCCTGCCCTCCCTCCCTCCCCCTGGCACTGCTGGCCAAGAAAAAGCAGGATTTTTTTCCAAATGCAAAGCATTTCCCACCAAGGCGCCCTCGGCTCTCCCCGTGGCCAGGAGGATGTAGTTAACTGTAAAATGGAAAGTACAAATTGTATACTAAGAGTTGTACATAGAGGAAACAAACAAAAAAAAAAAAAAAAAAAAAAAAAAAAAAAAAAAAAAAAAAACAAAAAAAAAAAAAAAAAAAAAGGCAAAACAAAACTTCCTAATACTGAGACTTTATTTCATATGTTTATACAATTTAATTTAAGTTCCATTTTAATGAAGGCCAATAATTAGGAAAGGGGAAGAAGATTTTAACTTTTCAACCCATACAATTCATAGCAGTATTTTTTTTTCCTTATAAACAACAATTCCATTTGCTGTGTTCAAAAGAGTCATCAGAGTCTCTTTTAATCTGTGCCTTTTTCTTGACCATTTAAGAGTCCAGTCTGAGTAAACCTGTTGAGCACAATCTTGGTGTCTTGTGTGCATTTTTGGAAGGGTCAGAATATTCTCCAGCTGTTGCAAAGAAGGCCAGAACCAGGAAAAAAAAACCAGAAGTAGAAAATTTGGTGATCTGTGGTAGTTTCTAGAGATATTCAACCCATTTTTTGGGGGGAAATGAAGCCCCCATGTTTAGCACCTTGGAAACAGAATGTTCTCAAGCATTTTGTACTGTTAGATTTCATTTTCATGGTGTATTTGCCTCTGTACTGTGGAAATCAAGTTGCTGATTGTTGGTTCCACCCTCTTGAACGTAACTCTGCCCCTTGCTGGGAGCTGAGCTCTCCCTCCAGGCAGGCAGAGGGGGGATGTGGGGCAGCCTGGTGCCCGTGGCAGCTCAGGATCCCTGGGACACAGCCTGGGAGCTCTGGGGCTGGCTTCTGCTCCCTCCTGAATGCACATTTTCCATCTGCTCAGTAAAAACTGCTGCTGTTTGCCCCAGAACGTGTGTGTTGTGTATGGAAAGATGCTCCCAGTGCCCACAGGTGTTTGCTGCCAGTGCAGGTGTAAAATGCACATTTTGCTGGTGCACTCACAGGGTGCCCAGGGCTGGCAGACCTTGCAGAGGCCAATTCCCAGCTCTGGCCTGGTCTCTCATCCATGCTTGTTTAAAATTGGTGTTACCAGTCTAGAAAATGACACTTCCTGAGGTAAAAGCTGTACAGTTTAGAGCATTTTATCCAATTTTGCTCGTCATCTTGGTGGTGATTTTCTGAATTTGGGGTAAATGTGGCTAATGGGGATTTCTGTGATGTTTAGCTCTGTAAAACTGAGGTGAAGCTGCTCCACACAGCAAAGGCAGTGTTGTTTTTTTCAGGCTCTCTGTGGGAATTCTTGGGATAATGTGGAACTAGAAATACATGGGATAAGAGGGAGAGAATGGTGCCTAATGGGAGCATTTCCTCAGCCCTGCTCTGTGCTGACTGGAGGAGGAGCACTAAACACCAGAGAACGTGAATGTTACTAAATTTGCTTTAATGCAGGATCGCAGTCAATGGTTTATTATAACTCATATATTTAATTAACCATAGATAATGTATTTAATGATAATTCAGCCAAAACAATTGTGACCCTTTCTAGAAGTGTTTCAAGTCCTCTGAGTCATTGATTCTGTCAGATTTACCATTTTAGTCCAGAAAATGTTACTGAGTTTCTGGAGTATTGCACCACGGCTCCAGCTGGTATCTCCTCACTGCAGCCTTTTGCAGAAGTATTTACACAAATAAAGTGTTTGTTTATATTCAGTATTTCTGGAAGCGATTGAACCTTGCAGTAATCTTGCCCTCAGTGCCTGAATCCCCTGTGTCATCTCTGGGGGTGGGGGTGGGAGCTGGGATCTTCTGGGGATTTGATCTTTTGGCTCTGAGCTTCCTCCTGTCTCTGTTTCGTGGCTGTTTCAGGTGCTTTTTTTCAATCACCATGGCAAGGGAGGGTTTCCCTGGCTCTGCCCAGCTCAGCTTGGAGCATCCCAGATGTTTCTGTGCCAGGCTGCTCCTCCCTCCTGTGCCCGGTGTGTGGCAGGAGGAACTGCTGTCCCTGCAGGTGAGGGGACAGTGATCCTGCTCCTCCTGCAGCACAGCAATTCCAGCTGGGCCTCTCAGCTGCTCCTGTGGGGACAGGCTGGGATCCACCACAGCCCCTGAAACCAGGGGTGTTTGCACCTGGGTGCCACAGGCAGCTTTGAGCTGGAGTTCAAAGGCAGCCTGGCCAGCACTGAAGCTGCAAGGTAAGGAAATGACAGAGGAAATGTGATTGCAGCACCTCTGTGCCCTGCTTCCCTCCTGGATGTGGCTTTGGGGAGAACATTGAGCAGGAATTTCTTCCCTGGGCCAGCTCTGACTCGGCAGCACTGGGGAAGGGAAATCTCGGTGGGATTTCTGTCCCTCTGCAGGTCACAGTCAGAGGGGGCTCCTCTTACAGCCCCTGAGGAGAAATGAGCACCTCCAGGTCCAGCTCAGCTGGAAGGGGCAGCTGGGGGTGATTCCACTGATGGGAAGTGAGCCTGAGGTGACCTTGGCACTGCTTCTCCTCCTGGAAGAGGATGCTGAGATCCCAGCTGGGAGAGGCTCAGGTGCCTGGGAAATGTCATCTAAATAGAACAGAAGGTGAACAGGGAAAGGCCAGAGTGTGTTTGGGCACAGCCTCGTGCTCACTGGGCTGGGGGTTGCTTTTCCCTCTCCTTTAGGAGGAAGGCAAATTCAGTGCTGGGGTTTCAAAAAGGAAAGGAATTTGGAAGTGTTTTTGTTTGAGGAGAAGCTCTAAGGGGTTGGTGGAGACAGGAATTTTGCCTTTCCTCTCCAGGCTGCTCAGGGTCTGAGGATCCCCTTGCCCAGGATTTCCACTTTCAGTTCCCAGATAAGGAATTCCAACATAACCCCTTGTCAGGGTGTGCCAGGGACACCTTGGCCCTGTGTGCTCTGCATGTGATTACAGGACAGCCAAAACCAGGGCCCATCACCTGCAGAGCTCCTTTCAGCTCCTCAGCACTCCCTGAGTGTTGGCAGGAGATAAACTGGGGATTTATTCAGGAAGATTTATACAAAAACTGGAAGAACTAAAAGCTTTGTTATATTTTCATTGGGTCTGTATTATTAATCCCCTACAGATTTCTTGCCTTTTGGCCTGGGAGTGCTCAGAGATGGCTCAAGAACTCAAATGTGGAGAAAAAGGGGATCCTAAACTGGGGAAGGGTTCCCAGCTGCCAGGTACAGGATGGAAATGCTCTCTTTGGCTTCAGCACCCCCAGAGCTGGGTGGGAATGCCTCAGTGCCTGTGTGGGCTGCCTGCTCCCAAAGCAGCTCTTGGCTGGAGCTGCTCCCTGCTTTTCCTCTGTGCTGGAACCTGCTGGACACGCTCTGGGCCCCGTTGGTTGGTCTGGGCACGTTATGAAGCAAGGCTGACACAAAGGAGTGCCTTACATACCTTCTGATTCTCCCTCCTCTTGCTGAGCAGGGCCAGTTGGGAGTGAATTCCATCCTAAAGCCACGGACTTGGGTGAGATGAGCTTTAGGGTGAAGATATCTGTCAGTAATCCCTGAACTGAGAGGTGTTTGGAAATGCAAACCTAGCATTTATGTAGCTAAACCAGCATTGCTGATTGCTCACAGAGCTCTGGAGCCCAGCAGGGGACAGGAGGTGCAGGGGAGGTAAAATCAGAGCCATTTTGAGTCAGAGGCAAGGTGAGCACCGTTTACCTGTCAGTGACACATTCCCAGTGTCCATCCTCCCTGCAGTGTCCTTTGCTGGAACAGACACCCCTGGAGGAGCAGAGTTTGCCAAAAAAGTGTTTCTGGAGCGAGGGATCCACGCTGCTCCACATCCAGGTGACCCTTGGCTTTCATCTCTCACCTGAATCCATTTGGAGGGCTCTGATCCCATCAGCAGCTCCACAGGGACCTGGGAAACCTCCAGCTAAGGCCAGGACAAGGTGGGGGCTCCTGGACTGCAAATAAATCATAAATGAGCAAAGTCCTGTGCGTCAGGACCGGGGCAGGGACTGTCCCCTGTGCTGGCACTGCTGAGGGACCTCGAGGGGTGTCCAGGTCTGGCTCCAGGTCTGTGCCCGCAGGCAGGAGGGACCTGCAGGGGCTGGAGGATGCCCAGGGAAGGGAGCTGGGAAGGGGCTGAGCCCCAGGAGGGGCTGGGGGAGCTGGGAAGGGGCTGAGCCTGGAGAAAAGGAGGCTCAGGGGGGCCCTCCTGGCTCTGCACATCTCCCTGGGCGGTTCCAAGGCCTGAGCACCCTTTCCATGGAGAAATTCCTGCTGATGCCCACCCTGAGGCCGTTCCCTCTCCTCCTGTCCCTATTCCCTGGAGCAGAGCTCGACCCCCCAGCTGTCCCCTCCTGGCAGGAATTGTAGGAAAAGCAAAGAGGGGCAGGTTCCCCTCCCTGTTCAGCCCCTGGAGCCTCCTGGGAGGTGCAGCCTGCTCCCACCCCGGGCTTGGAGCACCAAGAGCAGCAGAAACGAGCCCAAGCTGGAGGTCACTGCCATGGCCAGAGAGGAGTTTTTATTTTTAGGAACACCACACGTCACCGAGCACAGGCAAGGACCGGCACCACCAGCCAAGATGGGCAAAGCTGAACTGGGAGGCCACAGGAGCAGCCATGGAATTCCAGAGTGGGGCTTTCCATGGGACTCCTTTTCCAGGGGAATTGTGCCACTGCTGCTGGCACAGGGGCACGGCTGGGGGCACAGAGGCCGTGCTGGGATTTTGGGTTGGTTGAGCAGGAGCTGCCAGGAGGTTCCTGACAGGGCTGCTGAGCCCAATGGTGGATTAGAGGTGACACAGGACGTGGACATTTGGTGTTTGGAATTTCATCCAGCTGGAAGGGGGAGCCTTTTCCCAGTGAGAGCCTTTGACCATTTTGGCTGGTGAGCCACTGCTCCCGTTGACAGAGCCTTGGGAATGTTGTCCCTGGGGAAAGTGGGAGTTTATTTTAAATTAAAAAGAGATCTTTTCCTACTGCACATAAAAATAAAGGAGAAAGCAATTCCTGAAGGACAAAGCAGATCCAAAAAACCCCTCCCTGTGCTGCTGGTTCCATCTCACTCCAGGAAACTTCACACCAAAATTTCAATGCCCTTCTCTGGGGACAGAGAAAAGCTTTTTTTTTAAGGATTTCGTTAAGAAATTTGACACTTGAGGTGAAACCAAACCAAGCTTTTCTGCAGCCTCGTGTGCCCAAAGCCCAACAAAACCCCTGTGGGCACTTCCACAGAGGAGGAGGAGGATCACAGCACTGAAGCAGCCCTGGGTGGATTTTTCCAGACTTTCAATAATGGCTTTTTTTTTTCACTCCACAGTTCTGGTGTCAAGAGTAAAGTTAAATGAATTTTTTTGGAAATAAAACCCTGTAAAAACAGGTCATTGCCAACCAGGTCCCAGTGATGGACCTGGAGCCCCTTCCACCACAAACACCAATAATTTGTGCCTTTCCAGCAGCCAGCAATTTTCTACCTCAGCATTCCAACTGGGGCTGTTTCTGCCCAGTGTCCTCCTGAATCCTACAGGAAAAGGATGTGAAGCTTTATCAGTGACTTTGCTTTGGAAGAATAATTTCAAGAAGTCAGACACCACGGCCAGGAAGCCATTTGTTCTTCTCATGCACAACATTTCTCCTACTGAGCAACATTTTTGTTTGTTCCGAGCGGGATTTGTCTGTTTACAGTAAATACCTGTCACATAGCAACAGAAATATTACTAAATAATAATAATACATAGAATGTTAAGCTCCTTGGTCTAGAAGCTTTTAATGAAAAAACCACATGTTCCTGATAAAAAATAATAAATAATGTCAGCTTCTCTTTGTACATTAAAAATATCTGTACATGGTTCCACGATATGACAAAGTACAATTGTATTTTCTTGGCTCAGGGTGGCATCTCTGGGGTAGGTCTTCACCTAAAAAGGGTCAAGGCTCACGGTCTTGATCCTGCATGAAAATCCTTTTCCCAAATTTGTGGAGTTTAGAGCCTTGCCCACCCTTTCCATGCAGAGGGGGAAGCAGCCCACGAGGAATGTGGCAACACCGACATGCAGGAAGCAGCTGGGAACTGGGATCTTTGCAAATGGTGAGACTGGAAAGTCTGGAAAACTTCTTGCCTCGACTGGAAGAGACCAGCAACAAATAGAAAAATAAAAGTGGCAAAGGTAAGTAGAAGTCTCTCTCCCAAATGTAGCTAGAAAAGGGTTTAGGTGGTTTGTTTTCCAAGATGGCACTTAGTGATCCATTGGCTCTGGCTCCTGGCCAAGCTTCCGCTGCCTCAGAATGCCCAAAGTGAGCTCAGGGGAGGGATGGGGACAGCTCTGGGCTCCAGGGCACGTCCCATCCCCTGGGACTGGCAGAGCAGGGCCATGGCTCTGAGCTGGCCCCACTCAGCTCCGGCACACCCCGGGATCCTCCTCGGCCAGGAAACGCCACCAGGGCCCTCCGGAGCTCTGCAGGGTGGGGGAGGCAGGGCTGGAACCCGAGGGCAGCAAACGTTTCCTCCTGTTCTCCTGGAGAAAACGTGGGGCTGCTCCTCCCCTGGCAGTGCCCAGGCAGAGCCAGCAGGGATGGAGCAGTTCGGGGCCACCCCACAGCTGTGAGCCCCAGGACAGGGAGAGCTGAGCAGCTGGAGAGGAGCAGCTGGAGAGGAGCAGCTGGAGAGGAGCAGCAGGAGTCCCTGCACAGGGGGTTTGGAGCTGTTTTTTGGTCCTGGCTTTGCCAGGAATGCCTCGCTCCTGGAGCAGGGCTCTGGCATGGCTCCAGCTGCTCCTGCAGGGACAGGGACAGAGTCCTGATCCTGCCCATGCTCCCACCCAGCTCCCACAGCTGGACATTCCTGGGAATTCACTGCAGGAGGCACCACGGCAATGCAGATGGATGAATTTTCAAGTCCTGCTGTCTGTGAATCCTTGGGACATCCTAAAAGGCCTCTGTTCCTCCTCTTCTGGGCCAGGACTAGAAACAGGATTCTTGGGATTCGGGGTCGGTGTGGATGGGAAGCTTCTCTTGTTCCTGGTGGTGCCCGTTGTGTAACACCGTGTACCTGGGAGGGGAACACAAACCTCTGTCAGTGCCAGGTCCAACGCCAAACTGATGGAAAATGGAAAACAAGATCTTGCAAACCCCAAAGTATATTTAAGGGAGTGATTCCTCCAAATATCCAGATCCCACATTAAAAAGCATGGAATCCTTGCTTTGCTCTGTGACAAGGAATGAAATCTTCAGTTTGGAGCAGTCAAAGCAATCCCTGAAAACCAAGAAGCTGTTGGGATTCAGGTGTCTGAGGGGAGCTGCACTGCCTGAGTGTGCTTGGGCTGGAGGATGCTCCTGCAGGAATTCCCGGGCTGGATGCTGGCTCCCAGCATGGCCGGGGCACTGAACGTGCAGATATTTCCCTCAAACCTTCCTTAGAACTCCAGCACTTTAAACAAGGATCAGGAATTTCAAAAATGTGCTCCCAGCGAGGTACAGACTGGATGTCAGAGACAAGCAGAGACATTTTGCACCTCACACTGAACAGACTCCAACGAGACGGCCACGAGGAGAGAACAGAGCTGGAACTGATGGACCTGGTCAGACGGGGACACCGTGGAACACAATCCACCCCGGAGACCTCGGCAATGCCAAAGGCTCTGCCACAGACGGGACACAGCGAGGAGAGCCCCGACACCTGGAGCAGCTCAGGACGATGGACTGGGATATCCAAGGTTACAGGTGGACAGAGACTGGGATATCCAAGGATCCCAATGGACAAAGACTGGGATATCCAAGGTTACAGGTGGACAGGGACTGGGATATCCAAGGATCCCAATGGACAAAGACTGGGATATCCAAGGTTACAGATGGACAGGGACTGGATATCCAAGGACAAGAACTGGGATATCCAAGGTTCCTGATGGACAAGAACTGGGATATCCAGGGTTCCAGATATACAAGGACTGGGATATCCAAGGATCCCAATGGACAGGGATTGGGATATCCAAGGTTACAGATGGACAGGGACTGGGATATCCAAGGTTACAGATGGACAGGGACTGGGATATCCAAGGATCCCAATGGACAGGGAATGGGATATCCAAGGTTCCAGACGGACAGGGACTGGGACACCAAGGATCCAAACCTTCCTCCGTGTTCTGCGGCCGTCCCAGAGTGGAGCAAGAGCAGCAAGAGCGGGCGGTGCCGATTGTTAGAGGTTCATTAAGCTAAAGAGGAGTCATTAAGGTGTCCCGGGATGTCGTGTGGCACAAAGTGTCTGTCTGAAGCCTCTGGCAGTGAGTTCAACACTTCCAGCTGTTCACCCTGTGGGGAAAGAGGACTGGTAGGACAGGAGGAAGGAGCATCCCTGGCTTGGGGAGTGCCAGCTCGTGGCTCGCTCAGGTACCAGCACATCATTCCTCAAATATTGCCAACATCTCCAGGAATCTGTTAAGGGTGTCCTCTGCTGCCAGGCTTTTGTGTTCCGTGGGGTTTTTCCATAGCCTGCAGCCTTTCCCTTCAAATGTAAGTTCAGAGCCCCTGCCAGTTGTAGGGCACCGCTTTAGTGTTGGACAAAAGCTGGGATTTTACAGCCCTGCTTTTTTCTCACAAAAAGGTTTTGTTCTCTTCCTTTCCCTGTGCCTTCACTGATCTCTCTCTGAAAATACGCCTCATTTCTCAGCTCGTGGTACCTGTGGGCAGCAAGTTTCAGAGAAATTCTCATCTGCACCTGAAATTCATCTGCTTCCCCTGCAGGAACACACCTGGTGTGCCTCAGCTCCCACCCCATGGATTTGCCAGGTATTTATCCTACAATGCAAGGAGGAAACAGCACTGGAACCCTCCCTGTGTGGGCTGAAGGCTTCAAGAGAAAGCAGCAAGGTAGGTGAGAGAAATAAATATATTTGAGGGCGCCAGAATATGTATGCAGGGGAAAAAAGATTCAAAAGGTTAAATGAGTTAAGTAAATTATCTACAGCAAATTAATTGTGCCCTTTTCCTGATGGGCTCCTCTGATGGGATTTGTGCTCAAAGGGAATCCCAAGGGGGGGCAGCATTGCTGTCACTTCCCCAGGAGCTTTCCCCAGATCCCAACCACTCCCAATAAATAAATTATAAAACAATAAATCCCAACAATGGGAAGGCACTGCCCCTCCAGGGACCTGCTGCAAACCCTCCCCACGGCTCTGGAATTGTGCTGATGGCCAGCTTGGGGACAATTGTGTCTGCCAGCCCAGGGGGCTCTGGGATGACAGCTGGGATCAGCTCTGGGCACACGAGGGGACCTGTGGGGTTTGCAGCACAAGCAGCTCCAGCTTATTCTGGGAATTTGGCAAATCCCAGGGAGAAGACTCCGAGGGGATGCAGTGGCTGCAGTGTTCCCACTTGCACTCCCTGCAGAGCTGTGCCCCACACCAACCTGGACATTTATTAGGAAAGCAAAGCCCAGAAACGACTGGGTTTTGGTTTCTCCTGGAATAAAAACCACACACCATTTCCCCACAGCCCCAGCTCCTGCTCAGTCCTCACCCCTGGCATCAGCCCTGACCTCCTGGGGACAGGAACCGTGAGGGTTTGGATCACACTGATCGTAAATAAAATTACAAAGAGAGGCCAAAGCCAGGCTGGCCCAGCCCCAGCTGAACCCTGCTGCCTGATTTGGGATTTGTGGCTGCACTCCTGCATTTTCCAAACCCACCCGAGCGTGCAGCTGCCTTTGCTCTGTGTTCAGGAATCCCTTCCCACTTTACAGCTGCTTTCTTTATGAATTGCTTCCCTCCTGCAGAGGCAGGAGTGGCTCCTGCTGTCCTGACAGCCCTGCACATGCAGGGCAGGTTCTGCAGTTGGCCTCAGTGCAGGGAGGGACCAGAGCTGCCAGCTCTGGCTTCTGCCACTACATCCATCCCCTCCCTGCATAAAAAAGGAAGAACAACAGGCAGAGTTGAGATTTTGCTGCAAAGATAGGGATGGGTGGGGGGATTTTGGGTGTGGGGTACCTCAGGTCTCACCGGGTGCACAAATGTTTAGATACGAGCTACACAAAAAGGTGCTAAACCCCAACTTTGGCTGTGTTCACAAATCCCTTTGTAATTCCTGTATTATAAATTCAAAATAGTTACTGACAGATCCCCAGAGAATGCAAGAACAGAAGAGAAAATCCAGGTATCAAATTCATTGAGTTCTGAGCTGTTCACTTCGTTTGCTTTTCTCATTCTCCAAACTTTTTCACTTTCAGATTTTTTCCCCATTTCTGATTTGGAGCAAGCCTTCAACTCCTCGTGAGATAAAGAAAGAAGAAAAAAGCAGAAAAGAGCAGATTGCAATTGATGTTCATTGCCCTTTGCTGCTTTTATCAGGGGACTGATCTCCCCACTGTGATACTGACAATTTTGGGAGTGAGCATTCACTGCCTGTGTCTTCATTTTTTCCTTTTCCAGTTGCAGAAGCCCAACTCCAAATGAAACACTTCCAAACACTTTTCTTCCTTCATCTACAACCAGTAAGTACCCCGGGAACAGCCACCATCCCACCTGGAACAATGTCCAAGGAAAAGGCAAGTAGGTGATGATGGTCCCCCTGTACCACAAACCTTCTGTTATTTGCAGGAGCACCCAGGAAAGATTTGGGACCAGAGGAAAACAAGATAAAATTATGTAAAATGAGATAAACTGGGAAGATTCGCTTTTGGCTTGAGCAGAATCCCATTCTCAAGAATGTATTTTTTTACCATTTCTATCCTCAACCACCTAAAATAGTGGAAAGTAGAAGAGGTTTTGAGGTAAAAGTTGGCTGGGGCCACATATTAAATGAAACTGAGCTTCCATTTTGAATGAAGGATTGAGACTTTTCTAAGATTTGACAATTGTGTTACCCCACAATTTATCTTCCCCTGCATTTTCCTTTCTCTGCCAAAGTGATTTTCCTCTGGAATATTTGCAGCACCACTGCTGGAACGTCACCCTCCACATCGTGTCCGTTCCTCAGAGCTCTGCTGCTTCCAGAGGGACTTCCAAGAGCAAGAACAAATAACTGATCTGAGATGGGGATTGTGGTGAACAATCACTTGGCAGAGGTTATCCTCATGAACACATCCCTGAAATCTGCCTTGCACCATCTGCTCAGTTCCAGAATTATAAATTCTGAATTAGAAAACAACAAAATTCCTAAACCACTCTAGAAGTGAGGGGAAGAGAGCAGCTTCAGAGGATTTTTGTGATTTATCCCAGCCTGTGCTGGCTCTGCTCTGCTCCATTCCTGTGTCAGGAACAGGAGGAAAAGAGCCTCTTTTATTTCTGTGTTTTAGGGCAGCCACAAAGCCCCAGGAAGCAACCCCTGGAAGTGCAGGATGGCACCAGGAATTCCCCAGGCTGGAAGCATCAGGAAAAATCCCACAGGTGGAGCTGCAGTGGGGCAGGAACAAAATCTGAGCGTGTTCTCCAGGACAGAAGGGAGCTCCCCTCCTGCTGTCTGCCTGGAAAGGGACTTCTGGTATTTCTGGAAAATTGGGAGATGCTGGAAAGAGAGAACTGTGTGACACAAACCCAAGAATCTATGAAATTCCCTGTTTTAATCTGTGATTTTTTTTTTTTTCCACCGTGAAAGAGCAAAATCCTCAAATCTGAACTCCACCAAATGACAGAATGAACTGGGAACAAAATGCTTTGCTCCATTTCCATCTTCTGCTGAAAAAATGAATTCACAGAGGCCAAATTAAATGGAATTTCACAAAACATTTGCTTTTAATACAGCTGCATATGAAACTTCCACAAATGAGAGCAAATTATGCCTCTCTCAGCACTCCCAGGTTCACAGACTCCAGAAAATGAAAACCTTCCCAGTAACTCTGGGCTGAATTTGTCCTGCTCCCATCGTGAAGTTCTGCACTTGCCCATCAGCATTATATCATTAGAGCAGGGTAAGAATAAATTGAATTATCCCATTACAGCCCAACGTGAAAACCCAGATCTTGGGAAAACGTTGGGGTTGCTGAATTATTTACATGGCTCTGACTGCAATGTTGATTTTAGAGTCCTTTGTAGTCAAATCTAAACACAAATCTCTCTCTGT